CCCCAAAACCCCAAAACCCCAAAACCCCATCTGGCAAAATCTGTGAGTTCATATATCAGATTTGCTATAATTATTTTAATAGGTGGTTGAAATATTAAAATGTTGCCTTTAATGAAAGTGCTCTTAGTGGGCTTCAAAATACTCTCAAGACCACTAAATAACATTCTCAAGAGAGTTTTTACACACAGATTCTAATTCATGCATAGGTTCATTGGCTTCTGTGGGCAGAAAGCCCATGTATTTGAAATTACTCTCAATAGGAAAATTGTCAATAATAATCAAAAGATAGACTTTTATATAAAACCACTTAGTGATGAAGCTGCCTTCAACAAAGGTGTAGAATACTTTGTTGAAGTATTTTTCTTTTATGGAGTCTTAGTTACAATTGCCATTTGGGAAATTAAAAAGTCTCAAGATTCCTCAGATAAGTAAAAAGTGTAATTGAAAGAATTAAGGAATTTTTGCGATTAAAACACCGACATAGTGACGAAACTAAAGGCAGAATTGTAAGACTATAAAATATAAAAGGAATAAAATGAAGCAGCCATGAAAGAAATTTAGAGAGAATTCTAGGAAATAAATGAGAGGTTTAGTAAAACATTTCATGATAAAGAAATATGACATTCTATTTAATCCTATTGTGAGTCTCATTAAGTTGATAATAAAGATTAGAAGTTGCTAGAAACTTGGCTTAAATTCATGTTTGTTGTGTTCATAATAGTTTCTAAGATATTTAAAATATAAGTTTCACTAATTGTTAATCTAATTAAGTTAATAATATAAAATAAAAATACTAATGAAAGTGGCAGGTAGAATTGATCCCATTCCAAACATCAGAGCAGCTGGTAGAATCATAGCTATGGGGGATGATGGCACACATGCAGCTCTTAACCATAACGGTACAGGACCAGGAACCCCTGAGCATATTAAGAAATATAGAAAGAGTTTCCAAAATTAACCAGGAATTAAATAACTGCATCCAGGAGTAGTAGATGATGGAGTTCCAGTTTAAGATGGTCACAAATTTGGAAGATAGACTGCTCCCTCAGAGAAAGTTGGTGATGTGATTAAAGCTCAAAATCTAAGAGGACTTGCAGACAAGTTTAATGATATTAAGGAGAGTAAATATGCGTCTCAACTCAAGGAGCCATTAGCTACTGGATTCTAAAGAGGATATAATTGGCCTGAAAAGATGGGTTAAACTAACTAATTTTAATTCGGTGTTCCTACTATTGGTAGTGAAAATGCAAAGCAAGTTCTTTACCCAGTTCCTGGAGATGAAGATGAAAAGACAAGATAAATGTATGCAAAAACTCATGGCAACTTTGCCCCAGGAGAATAAAAGACTAGAGATTATAATTGGTAACTCGACAAAACAAAGCACAGATTTGGCTATGGTGAGTAACGGCTACTGAATGGTGCTGCCATGTCTATCCATAATGAGAGATTCGACCAAGGATTCCCAAAAACAGTGATAGTAAAGAAGACTGTCGAGGATCAAAAGGCAGTAACTCAAGATCAATTAGGCAAGGCTAAAAATCTAGGTCAAGGTGTCTCAAATGAAAAACTAGACTAAGTGTTCGGAGTTCGCAATCTCTAATCAAATGATTAATGGAACGCAGCAAGATGCATTCACGGTGATCCAACTGAGAAAGAACTCCAACCAGATAGTGATCTAGGAAAATCAAACAAGGCAGGATGCAGAAATGTTGTGAGAAAACCTGAGGATGAAACTAGGTCATTTGGTGCTCCAACTATCAGAACTGACATTCCTTTCAAAGAAAAGAGATCTATTGCAGATTATAATGTAAATTTATCTTAAAAACTCTAATTCATATCTTTAGAACTATGGAGATGAACCAGAAGCTGTTGATTTGCTATTCCCTTCAACATTCACTGAAATGGGTATCACTGAGTATGATTTCTAATTACCTAGACCAAGGGAAGAAGTAAAGATGCTGTTTGAGAGAATCGGATACACTTATAAAATCGGAAAGTTCAATGCCATGTACAACAGAGCTAAGGACCATATGGGAAGTACTTAGAATGCAGGAGAGAACGTTAGCGTCAGAGCATTTATACAAGCAGTCAATGAGATGCACAATATTGAGTGAAGATAGAAATTAAGGCTTAAAAAAATAAGATCACTCGGAAAATTTATTCTTAATTTATCTAAATACTTTAATATTCAAATTATTCATAAGTATTTCAAATAACTCCTCTCATTTTTATTTAGAATACCAATAAGAAGGGGTTTTGGGGTTTTGGGGTTTTGGGG